TTAAATCTGCAGTTCTTTGTGATAAATAGAAGCAAATTCTTAATGACTGTAAGGAAGGGAGCTTTAAATGAAATCTCTTTCCTCTTTTCAAGTGGAAAAATGGGTGGAGCTTAGCCTTTGAAATGGGTAGAGCTGCAGGTTTGTATAAACCCTCTTAAAACCAGATAACTAGCGATGCAGAGTTGTCAAAACTTGTGAATAAAGTGTGTGAATTTCTGTAAGAGCATGTGGTGAAATGCACGTGTAAAGACATGTAAAAAGAGAAGTGCAAAATGCTTGGAGGTAGTAACTCAGTTTGCTAGTATCTGTTGAGAACAAGCATCTGTGAAGTGTTCTACCAGTGACACTGATCTTTGAAAGGCCTTGGGTGCACATCTCGGCTTGTGATAACCTCATTTATCAGGTGACAGCTCTGTGCACTGTCCAATGCAAACATGGTACGGTGTGCTACCTGGGTCTGTCAGGGCAGATGTGGGTGCTGTGGACTGTAGGAGCTGCGTGAGAAGCAGTTCGCTTGCTTGCAGGTTTGCATAACCTTAGGTCAGGGCCTGTTGCCTGATGTTATCCTTGTACACCATGCTGGCAGGGCACCATTAACAAATGCCAGCTATTCCTGTGTACTACCCCACTGTATCTGAAGGAGCTGTCTGGTTTTAGGGGACATGATGAGCAGGAGTCAAAAGGAACTTCAGCATTTTGCCTGTTTTCATTTTTGCAATTTGCACCCTTTTCCATGGTAACTGCATACAAATGAGGAGCCAGACTTAGGGGTACTGGGGGCTGAAAAGCTGGGCATGAGCCAGCCGTGTGTGCTGGCAGCCCAGAAAGCCAACCGTATCCTGGGCTGTATCCAGAGCAGCGTGGCCAGCAGGGTGAGGGAAGGGATTCTGCTCTTTTACTCTGGGGAGACCCCCCCCTGCAGTTCTATGTCCAGCTCTGGGGATACCAATATCAGAAGGCTGTCAATCTGTTGGAGCGAGTCCGGAGGAGGCCACAGAGATGCTCCGAGGGCTGGAGCCCCTCTGCCATGGGGACAGGCTGGGAGAGTTGGGGGTGTTCAGCCTGGAGAAGAGAAGGCTCCGGGGAGACCTTATAGCACCTTCCAGTGCCTGGGGGGGCTACAAGGAAGCTGGGGGGGACTTTTGACAAGAGCAGGGAGTGACCAAGGGGTATTGGGTTTAAACTGAAATTGAGAAGATTAAAATTGGACATCAGGAAGAAATTCTTCGTGGAGAGGGTGGGGAGGCACTGGGAAAGGTTTCCTGGAGAAGCTGTGGATGCTCCCCCATCCTTGGAAGTGTCCAAGGCCAGGGTGGATGAGGCTTGGAGCAACCTGGTCTAGTGGAAGGTGTCCCTGCCCATGGCAGGGGGGGGGACTGGGTGTGCTTGAGTGTCCCTTCCAACCCAAACCATCCCATGATTCTATGAAATGTAAGGGCAGGAATGTCCCTTGCTCAGAATGAGTAACAGTGATGATAGCACACACTTGTTTCAAGTACTGAAAATGGAAACACGTTTAATTACACACTTGACAAACACCTTTTCAAAATGCCTGAATAAAACCTGTAGCAACTTCCTGGAGTGTTTTGTGTTCTGCACTGAAGGACATCTGCCCATACTCAGCCTTTGAATGGCCGCTGATACTGCCTACAGCATGAATGCAGTTAAAGTATACAACTGTGCCCCCATGCAACTACACCCACAACTGCCCTTTTCTCAGCAGTATTTGTTTTTATTTGAGCCTCAACACAAAGTGCCTCGGTGACCAGAGACCCGTGGCTGTTTGGAGAGGGTTTCTTTTGAAAATAATGGCATTAAGTATGGCAGAGAGACTGAAGAGACAGGGCAGACACAGGCAAAGGAGCCTAAACAAACACAGCTACTCCTATAGACATACTCGTAACATTTTTCCCTCTGCTAGAACCATGGGAATGCGGGTGCTTAAGTTGAGATTCTAGATAGCCAAACATCTTCAGAGGAAACTTATTAAGGAGCTTTCATCTAAGCTAATATTTTCAGTCTTTGAGATTCCTATGATCTCTAAATACTTCAGTGACTTGAGCTCTAATAAAACTTCATTTAGAATTTCTGTCTGAACTCCCTACTCCACCACAGGAGCTCTGAGCTGGATGAAACAGAGGAATGGTGGAAAACAGCCTCATATCAAGTAAACACTAAGCTCATTAAGCCCTGCAGCCTCAAAGAGCTTGGCATTGAGAGCAGTCCAGACTGGGAGACAGCCTGTCTAATCACCTTCTTGGCGAGCAGGGGTTTATAAGGCTATCCATGTCTAAAGGCAAGAGGTGTGTAGCAATTATTTGTCTGGAGATCCGTTAGGAAACGGTGTATTCGGTATGCAGTTTGCCAAGGGGGTTAAGGAAATGGAAATCCAGAACAGGTGAAGTCAGGAGTGTAGGGACAAGTAGGTTGGGTCAGCTGTAGTGAGGTAGTTGACACATATCCTGGATTCCTGAAGAACACCTTCCTCCTACACAGGTTGTGTGAAGGATCTGTGGGATTTTTAAGTGTCATTCCCCTGTCCGAACAGCAGTAGTTGCACATCCCTGGGAGTGTTCACTTTCCTATAAAACCAGGGAATGCTGTGCTAATGGTTTTGGCACCTTGGATGTGCTTCCTATCTCTTTGTAAGTACCTACAGCTACTCTAGATACTCCAGCTGGGACAGAGATCTGGAGCCAAAGGATCTATGTGACCATAGTCCAGGCTTTTAGAAACCTTGCTTCACCTTCGGCAAAAGAACCAAAAGCAAAAGATAGACTGGTAGAATGACCTGTTCGGTTCTGAGCTGAGACACAACAGATGTATCCGGTACCACAGGGTACCACTTCGCTCTGTAATCGGTGTGCTTTGTACTGCCTTTCTGACTCTGGCACCACAGGTTTATGCTGGATTAAAGTGACTGTGCAACCACAGATTTAGGGACAGAAATACAGCAGAACCTATTGTTATTTCAGTGCTTTAAGAGATCTGCTGGCAAGCTCTTCAGTTATTTAGGTGCTCTGCAAGAAAACTGAAGAGTCCTGCTGCTCAACCTGGCTTTTTATGTTTCTGATACCGGAGAAATACGTTGTTATCGTGTGCTTGGATGTCTTTATTTTTCTGGTGCAGCCAGGTATGCCAGCGGTGCCTGAACCCCTTTAAGAACCTCTGCCTTAACCAGGCTTCCTCATGTCTCTACAGCTGTTATGGAATATGTTGTTATAAAAATGGTCACTCTGAGTTCATTTGGTTAACCCATAAACCACCAGAAATGTAGATGCTCCTTCATTCAGTGGAGTTTATTTCAAAATTGTTGCACTGTAAAACACTTATTCTGGGGTTGCAGCTTTAGTGGTGTTTTTTAACATCATCTT